GGTGAAAATTGATTTTTGCAGTGAGTTGTGTCATCTAGTCGTTTTACAGTTTCGAAAATGTAATTTCCCTGGATTATTCTTTACGATTTTTTTTATTTGGATGTAAATTCTCGTACGTACCGAGAAAAATTACACATTTTTACAGTGTACAAAAAAAATATTTCATTGATTACGTTGTACGTCTAGCCTGTGATTACAGAATTACGGAATTTATTTTTTAAATTTACGTTCTACGAACAAAAAAATATTGCAATTACGTTGAATGAAAATAACCATTGCTCCCCCCAAGTCAAGATTTTACTAACTGTCCAAAGCATGTCCAGAAAATTGCCCACAGATTTTTTTTTTTTAGATGAAAGCCAGTTATCAAATTTTAATTTCAAATAACATGCCATGATACATCTTGCTAGGGACAGGTACCTCATCAATTAGGACAAGCACTTTTATTCACCAACCTGTTCAATGGACAGGCAATTTTAATTTCAACCCCTGATAAATGTATGGCATATTAGGTTTTAGTCAGCTACTGCATACCATATTTGCTTTATTAGTAGCACATGAAATTATGAAAACTACAGAGGTGTTTCCAAGGTAAAACTATGTAGTGTTTTCACAAACACGAAGTGGGGGTGTATATGCACTTTTATTAGAGATGGGCTTCTAATAGATCAAATACTGTTAAATACTTTATTTTAGCTGGAATTAATTTTCGCTGAATAGACTTTTAGGGTGTTTTGTATGGATTTTATTTTCACTGATTTTTGACGAGTTGAATAAAAAATATAGGGAAAAGGGTATATTCGCTGGATTTCATTTTCACTGAATCACTCCTTCAGCGAAAATAGCGAAAATTAATAATCACTGAATTATTTGTCAAGGTTTATACCTTATTCTACCAGCCCTGTGTACTTTAACATTGACTTGACTAGATAAGGGTTCATTATCATAGTTTAATGCTTTTTGGAATAAGGTACTGAGTTCTGGTTTTTTTGCTACCATATTGCACAATGTCAGGAAAATAAAATAAACAAAAACAATAATTGAATATGGAAACAGAAGGATATCTCTGAAAACAGTGTCAGTACAAATAGTTAGGTGAACTTCATGAAGGCATGAATAACTTTTTTGAGAATTTATAAAATATTTATAAAATATTTACCCAATTAAGACCCTTTAAATCTAAAGAATACATGTATGCTTTCATTGGCTATAAAATTACCCATGAGTCTTTGCATGTTTCCTTCAATCATTTATTGCCATGCGTCCATTAAACATGTTGTAATTGGTTAACTGTCATTTGAAATTTTAAAAACATTTGTAAAATATTGTTCTTGCTACATGTATTAGATGCAATATCTCAGAAATTAATAAAATGATCAACACACACTAATACACTCTTAGCATGGCAGATACAAAAAAGTTGGACCTTAAAAATGTACTTGTTTGAGCAGAGGTGATTATAAATTAATATCAGGCATCATTTTCCTTATTTATTTAAAAAAATAGCTCTGAGGTTATATCATTCATAAGGGTTGCAGAAATGCTCAATGCAACAAAACTGAATTAGGTACTGCATAAAGCTCAGAAAACTTAATCTGCTGCCAGGCAACGATTATATTTTAATATCGAGAAATAAAGCGATGTGCATATAAAATACATTTATTGCGAGTCAGCCACACGAACAAACAACCAAACAAAAGCAAAAATATGAAATATGTAAATGTATAGCTCCAGTTACCATGGTGACTACACTCTGGTGAACTTAAGTCTCACTACTAAAGGAATACTGATAATTATAATCTGAATCAAAAAATTGTTCAATACAGCTATACATAATAATTATGGGTTGTATCATACAGGGGTTTCGTTAAGAGCCGGCCGCCGGCCATATGGCCTGCTACAAGCCCAAACTGGCCATCTACTCTCTGCCCTGACCGCCTACGCCGGCCTCGCTGCAGCACTTCGCACAGACGAGAGCCTTTTTATTTTATTTTTGGCCTGTTGTTACAGGATGATGGCCTGCTATTAAATGCATTTGTGAAACCCCTGTATATATACAATGTATGGATAAAACTACAAGTGTTTAGCACCAGACATATTTTATTGTGAACTGGAAACAATAATATTCAGAATTAATAATTCCTATCGTTCGATGGTTTTGCAACTACGATTCTTTCGAGAGTATGATGTTTAATACATCGATCTCTGATTTGACATTCCTGTAAACATGCACAATAGACAATACAACAATGACAACCATGACAACAGCTGCGGCTGGTGGAGATGTAGTATGGTATGCAATAACCATTAAACGTTTTAAATATAAATATCTAGAGGAGTTTATTGTCTATATATATCCGGATATTAATATATATATGTAGATACACTCAATTTATTAAAATTATGACATTATTTCAATCATAGTAAGCTGTATCAATGGAATAAGAATGTATGAATATTTAAATTACCGTCAAATATTATCACTGATGAGAGTGGCATCCCCCTGGAAACAATCCTATCTAAATCCATACTGGAATAATGTAGATGTTATTTTACTATCTGTTAACAACATCACAAGATTCAGTGAAAGACAAATGACAGAATGTATACAGGTCTCAATTAACTCATCCTATTTCAGATATTTGGGGATTTTTTAAGAACAATTTTGTGAAGACCTGTTTTAGGAACAAAAACATTGTAAAATGAAATTATACATTTTGAATATGCAATTATGACATACATTTCAAAAACCACTTGACTTCCCCAATTAAAATTGCATATGGTCTGAACTGAAAAATTAAATGTAAAAAATTGAGAACAATTAGTTTAAAAATTGCAGAGTTCGAGGAGGATATCATTCTCAAAACCTCATCAAATAATTTCACATATTCTAGAGCATTTTCAAAGCATAAAAAGGGACAAATTTGGGTTAAGACCTTTTTATACTGTAACTCCGATTATTTAAATCACCGTTTACTGTCTAGTCTTATGAGGTAATTACTAGAATACTGCAATGCATGTACGGTGTTTGTATCAAATGATGAGTATTTCCATCACACGTATATAACGCTTTTGTGTATGAAGTAAAACAAAGAAAAGTGTTAACAATTTCCAAATAAGGAAGTCATTTAAATGCATCCATGACAATTTCAAACACTTCATTATGGCATTTTACCCATGGGTTAAAACTATTGTTTTCAGTGTCAGATGTATAATAATGAAACCTATAGGAAATAATTACCATACAATATTTAATTATTGTCTACTACAAATATTAACATAAAAATGATAGTGCCATATTTTTATGCATTTATTGATTATGACTGAAAAAAAATCAATGCTTCTATGTAAATAAAAATTCTGAAGTTAATTAATAGTTTCATATGTCACCTTCTGAAAAAAGTCTATTACATGCTTGTCACTATTAACCTTTACACCACCAGTTTCCTCTTTTCATCACAAAATAGTCCCATTTGTAGTCAGAAAATTGGGACAAAAATAGACAAATTTTCTGAGTAAAACTGAAAAGTGACTTAAATTTTTTCTGTTGGCTCCAAAATTACAATTCATTTCCAGAAATATTGAAGAATATAAGAAAAAAATGCAGAAAAATTTGGGTGAGAAAGTCTGGTGGTGAAAAGGTTAATTGATATTTGTTTCATCCTTACAGCTTTCATAAAGGTATCCCATTGTATATTCAATGTAAAATGCCGAGTTTCAGAGAGAAATATGTTTTTGAGATACCCCGATTCCCGCCCTCCTCAAAAAAATTGCCTTATAAAAACTTGCGAAACAAGGAATAAAAAAAGTCTGGCCTTATCATTAAAAATATAAAATTTTAAACCTACTGTAAAATACTTTATTTTCGCTTAAAAAATAATTTTCGCTATTTTCGCTGAAGGAATTATTCAGTGAAAATAAAATCCAGCGAATATACCTTTTTTCGTATATTCACATTCCACTCGCCAAAAATCAGTGAAAATAAATTCCATACAAAACACCCAAAAAGACTTTTCAGCGAAATTAATTCCAGCTAAAATAAAGTATTTTACAGTAGTTACTAT